GTTTTGGGATTTTTTTTGTTTTGTTGTTGTTGTTGTTGTTTGGGGGTTTGTTTTTGGTTCGTTTATTTGTTCGGGGTTTAGTTGTTGTTGTTGTTTAGGGGTTTTGGGTTGCTCTGTTAGGGTGGGGTCAAATTTCCCCCAGTCTGAGGGCGTTTTACTGATTGTTTTATCAACTTGATACATAACTTTTTCTTGAAATAAAGAGAGCTAAATTTTGAATACTGTAGTAACAATATCTTTTAACCTTCTTCTTCTCGATCGCATCACACTTGAAGTCTGGTATCTGTCATAAATTGGGCCGTCCTGCTCAGTTCATCTGTCGGCCCGTATTATGGTATAGCTTCTCTTGTAGTGTCAGTGGGGTTGGCCAGTCGTTTCCTGTCTCAGGGCCCTGTGTGTCTTGCAGTGCTGAAGGATGTGTTCAACAGTTTGATCCGCCTCTCCACACTGGCATTTTGGTGATTGTGCTAGTTTAAAACATCTGTACATAATATTATGTTGTCTCAGTCTTGTGTGTTGGGTTCTTAGTCGGAAGATAATCACCTGTTTTTGGCGGGGCAGCTCATGGTAGCCATCTGGTGTCTGTGGTGCTTTAAATAGGGTATTTATAATAGTTTTTATCTGTGCAGTTAACACTGTTGTCTGGTTGCTCTTTCTGTTCTCCTAGTTTGGCCATCCTGTCTGCCTGCTCGTTTCCTAAGACAGCATAGTGTGATGGAATCCACTGCAGCATGATCCTCAGACATGGGATGTCCTCAATTACTTTTTTAACCTTCAAAATGACTTCCTATGCTGTCTATCTATTGTACCGCCTTGTCCTGACTTGTCTCAACTGACTGTTGTTATGTTTTGCTTGTTAGCTGACTTTTAACAGGACACTGATTTTATTTTGAGCTGAGCCAAAGTGTGAGCCAAATTCTGGGCCAATAAGTTTTCCAGAGATACACAAGTTATAAAATGTGATGACGCAATTAAGTGATCCATGGTAAGATGACGGGAGAAGCAAAAGATCTAATAACATAAACGCGCCTTTTATAGAAAAATAAATAAAATACAAAAACAGTCAGCAAGTGAAAAAGTATGCGATCTAAAAGTATGTAGAAATATAAGTTACATCATGTAGGTCAAAACGTCTGTTACTCACTGCGGCAGAGAATTAAAATTGAAAGCGATACGCTAATCATTTCTGATGTAAGCAGGGATTCTTAGCCATACAGACATATATCACAAAGAACAATAGACTAACATTGCTCTTATACGGGGACGTGTTTGTGTGTGTGTGTGTGTGTGTGTGTGTGTATGTGTGTGTGTGTACGTGTGTGTGTGTGTTGTGTATGTGTGTGTATGTGTGTGTGT